CTGTTAATTTATTTATTTACTTCATTAATTTTTTTTAATTCATCTTATTATGCGTATAGTCTAACTTTATAAATTATATGTCATTTAAATGTATCTATACTACTAATTTATCAGGCTTTACCATTTGGGGGAGCTAAATTTTTATTTTAATTATGAAACTAATCTTTCTTATCGTTTTGCAGCTACATGTTTGATGGAGTATGGCTGAAAATTAAATTACAAAAAAAAAATCTTTTTTTATATTTTAATGTAACATGATCTGTATTATAATGTTTGTATTTATTACATTTATTAATATTTTTTATAACTTTAATTGCTTATTCAATTCATAATGGAATAAAAAATAATAATATATAGTTTCTGCACAACAATAATGATTGCCACGTTTATATATATAAATAAATGAGAATAAGAAACGTATAAATGTAGGATTAACTAAAATAAACCTTTTTAATTTAGCCATTAACTAATTAGGTTTAACTAAAAGAAACTTTCTTAAATGTGGAATTAGTGAGTAATTAATTAAAAAAAAATGTAACTCCTTTTGGAGGGAAAGTGAAAATGTTTTTATTAAATGTTTTATTAAATGAGATTAGCTAGTAATTATATATATACAGATGATATACACATTGTTACTCTGTATATGTGGATCTTTATACATGAAAACTTGATATAAATGTTCACATTCAACCTTTTTTTTTTTTTTTTTTTTTTTTTTTTTTTATCTTCTGATAGGGTACAATTTTATATATTTGACATATAAATTGACTTACGTCATGAATAAATAGAACCAAAAATTATTCAGTGCAAAATTAAAATATTAGGTCTAGAATACTTGTCCATCAATAAAAAATTCTCGAATAAATTTACCATATTAAAAAAAAAAAATTAGGAATAAATGTTGACAGATCAGGTTTGTACTTGGATTCAAAATAGATCAAATAGTGGACTTGGTCTCTCTTTTTTTTTATTGACACATAAGATAGACCATGTCCACTTTTACTTGCATTGGAAGATATTTTTTTATAGACCAAGTTTATTTCCTACATGACATATGATATTTTTTTAAAAGACTCAATGCTGCTCTAAGTGTATCAATTTTGCTATGAAACCAACAGTTGGCTCTACAGTGGAGCCAACCTTCTATATACAACAAGTAAATCATACCATATTCTTTAATTACATAAATGATACTAGTAATTTTATTAAAATGGTATGATTTATTTGTTGTATATAGAAGATTGACTCCACTATAGAGCCAACTGTTAGCTTCATAGCAAAACTGGTAAGTGTATACCCTTCCCACTTTTTTCAATCTCTTTCACTTTTATTTACTTTAATTTTTAAAAACTGCAAACAACTCAAATTAGTGGAATGCCAACATATAATATGGGGCCACAGGTCGTTCTGGGCCCGCCCGTCCTGGCTCGACCTCCAGATAAAAAAATAAATAGAAAATATGGTGTCGTCTCCAGGGCCGGCTTGGGCTCGATCCGATGGGTAAAAATTTTTTACACCTCGGGCCGGCCTGTAACCATGTCTAATGTATGATGTGCACATGTGGGCATAAGACGTGCGAATGGTTGGAATCTGAAGCAGTTAAACTGTCTATCCTTGTCGTCTTACATTCTCCTAGGTTAATCTGACAATAAGTTGAACAAAAAATAAGACCAGGTACAAAGATTTACAGAGAAGCCACATTTCAGTACAAGTCCAGTTACCTTGTCCTAAAATTGGAGGGGGAGGGGGGACTAGATGATGTATCACTCTAATGGATCGACAGATCGGCTTGAGCAGACAACTCGGATAGGCCGGTCTAGGAGAACTTCAATTTGTCCTGAAGTAAGCAACCCCAAATCAGGGAGCTCGCACTCGAGCTCCAGAAACTGGCCGAACTGGAGAAGACGACCTGGAGGTACCGACCTCTAGGAGCTCGGTAATACAGTCGAACATCAAGGTATCGATGTCGTAAAATCTGATATTAGATTAGACCTTAAGGTGGGGTCAAGTTCGACCTCAGATAAGCCGCAACAAGTAGGTTAGGAGGTCGTGGTTACAACCTATAGACAGAAGGGCTGTACAGTATAAACTAGTACAACACCCGTGTATTACACGGGTATTTGTTAATTTTTTTCTTAAAATCTAAAATTAATGAGAAAAAGTAGTTGAAAATTTAAATACCTTTTACAAATATATATATATATATTATATATATATTTAGTGTGACACTTTTTATTTGTGCGACTTACTTGTGTTATATTATAATAATTTTTTAACTTACAACATATAACTACATTAAAAATAAATATATCAATTGATAAATAATTTTATTTTTCTAATAAATTTTAATAAATATTATTATTTTTTATTATTATAAAGATAAATATAATTTATTTATTTCATATATACAATATGGATGTCAAATCGAAGATCATCAAAAGATGATTAATTTGATATATAATATATGTGAAATCGATAAAAAATACAAAAAGTTATCAACTACTAAAATACATTTACAATTCAATAGCTAATTGAAGGAAACAAATCAAAGTTAGGGATGTATTAGTCACTTAGAGCCTCACTATATAAAATTACAAATAATTAAAAGGTTATATTAGTACAAGTGATATTAAAATAACTAAGTTAGATAAATAATATTTATGGAATGTCCAAACCTAGATTATTAATTATTAATATATCAATATTATTATCCAAACTTAATTACGAAGCATGATTTTTTGCCAAGTAGGATTCCGAAGCACCAGAAGCAGCCACGTAGGCTCAGCGCATTCGAGAATTATATATAGGGAGGATTTGATTTATAAATTATTAATTTTTATTTTTATTTTGTACGTTTATATAATATGATTTTTAAATTAATTATGTGATTTGTTGTTACATTGACTCGGTTGGCCGGGTTAAGGTTATAAAATGCGGTGCTCGCCTTCCAAAACTCATCTCTTCCGATAGGTTATAGTATTATACACAGGGAAAGGGGTAAATTTACGGAGGGGGACGAAATGTATCATCCAACTAGAGGCGGAGTTCGTGGTGGCCGCGATCGTAAGTCCCATCTTACTCCTTAATTTCTGCCACAAATTTGTGGTTGTCAGATTTCTCAAATTCCTTCGTCCATTTGTTGCTAATGTTTTTTAGAACTTTTTTTTTTGCAATTTTTTAGGAACTTTGGATGTTATTTTCTGTCCATTTCGTGTTGTTATCAAATATTTTTAATCGGTAATTTTGTAGCTGTTCCAGATTCTGGGTAATTTTTCGGACTTCCCCCTGATGTTGGGAATTTTAGGTTGTTCATTCAGTACTGACAATTTTAAGCATTGAGTTTCATTGTCGCATCTTTATTCAATTAACTACCCCAAACAAATTAGATTGTAAGTTGTTAATTGTCTTGAAATGGGTTTTTTCTTATCTCTAGCCGTAGTAGGATTATGGTGAAACCATCTGGATACAGTTGGATGTAAACTCTGTATGGTATCAGCCTATCAGTATCAGGTAGGGATTGGCTCTGGAGATTTAAGTTCTGGGGCTGGCATTTTTGTTACAGCCATTGAGTTGAAGTAGATATATTATTTCCATACAAAATATGAAACCGTTTAATTTTTATCTATGCTGTAGAAACCTAGTCTAGCTCCAATTTTATCTTGCCGAGGCCCCATACAACCGTCTACGTTTTTTTTTTTTTTTCATTTATACCCCACATGGTCCCATACTTTTTCTCATTGTCAACATTTGGTTACAGCTTGTAATTTGGTTTGATCTGAATAATGTGATGATATTGTTCAAATAGCTAGTAGCTAACAATGAAAGAGGTATGTTGTGTCCAGTTATGCCTATTAGACGAATTACATCTGGTTTAGGCAGAAGCCTGTTTCTTTATTATTGTTTCCTCTAAAATTTGGAACGACAACCATCTATCAACATACCCAGTATATTCCCAACAAGTTGGGGTCTTGGGGGTCAGTTGTACGCAGACCTTACCCTTGTAATTATACAAGGAGGCTGTTTCCATAGCGACCCAAGGTGCGTTGCGTCGTTTGATATAATTTTTTCTAGAAACTTCACTAATAGAAGAAGCACAAGAATTTAATTGAGCCATTTTGATCTAGTCCATTATTAGCACTATGCTAGGGGAATTGTCAACAATGACTCTTCTAGCTCCATATGCAATGGACATAAAAATATCTAGCAGATACTTATTGGAATGTAAGCTCTTAAAATATCTAGCAGATACTTATTTCTACCACATCAAAGTCTGACATTAACTCTTTAGCAACCCATAGCATACATATCTTTTTTCTTTCATTTCTTTTTTTTTGTGTGTTGAGGGGCCAGTGTATCAATGAGATGCAAGTTTTTATTTTTCATATGCAGTGATCTAATAGATGCACGTATAGACCCTCAAACATAAAATGTATATAATATATGTGTTTTTGTTGGAACATTCACAATTTTACGGAAGACAAGAACGCAACTCAGGACTTACAACAAACACAAAATCAATGATAAAAGGAATAGAGGGAAGGACAATAAATGAAAACATGGGAAAAAGAAAAAGAAAGCCCACTGGATCTTGTCGTTCTCGTTGTTGGCGATTGGTCTCACTTGCCACTTGGCAGAAAGTTTGTAATATTACAATTTTTAACAAAATGTCAAACAAAACCGGAAGACTTGGGTTTTTTTGGCTTGCTGAAGTGAGGAGCTCGCCTAATTGTCGATGGACAGTCCTTTTTTATATTTGTCTTGCCTAACATATGCGTGGGTGACGTCTATTTGATTTGTCTTTCCTAGTGGCATGTTTTAGATGTCTTGGCGTAGATCTTGTTCATTTGTTTTTTTCTGCCTTTATCTTCGTAATCGTATAATATCAGATTTTTTATCATTGGATTATGATTTCTGGTCAAGATATCTTGTGACAAAATGATTAACAATTGTGATTATTAATTATGATGTGATTTTGTAAGGTTGTACTTCAGATACTATGTTCCTGTAATAATATCTTTTAAATTTCCTGTATTAATATATTTGAAAATGTTGTACCTTTTTGTACTCTTATCATGCGTTAGTCATTCTTCCATGCATCAATGATGAATTATATTGAATCAGAAACAGTCCATTCTTCTTTTCCTAATCTCTCTCTCTCTCTCTCTCTCTCTCTCTCTCTCTTTCAGAATTTAGCTGGGATGATGTCAAAGTTGATAAACATAGAGAGAACTATTTAGGTCACAGTATCAAGGCACCTGTTGGAAGATGGCAGAAAGGTACGGCTTTCATATGTCATAATGTGTGTGAATGTGTTATGTTTGTGGTGATATCTCATATCTTACTATATTCTTTAGCACCACAATTGTTGATGATTTTAGATTCTTAGAACATGCGACAATCTTATACCTATTTCTGGTGATCAGCTATTTGGCTCTCATTTGTCTTTTCCTTCTACCTTAGTTATTTCTGACGTGTTTGTTGTTACTAGTTCTTGTTAGAAGATGAAAACTATGAAGAGAGAAATAATTCATGTGGAAGGACTCTCATATTTATAGTGGGAGTACAAACTAGGTTACAATATCTCCCAAAAATAAAAATATTTTCTTCAGGGAAGAAAATCATTTTGCTTCCTCTCCATGCTTGTATTACAATTATACTGTTCTTTATATTTGTTTACGTAATTATTCTCTCAAAACTAACATTGTCAAATATTTCGGCATCAAAAGATTATTTGACTGAGTAGGTGGGAAAAAAATTACCTAATGTTATCACATGCAAATTGACTCAGGTAATCCACAGAACAAATATTCCTCTCACATCTTTATTCAACAACCCGAGTGTTTCTACACCGGATCAATACAATTTGGAAGGATTTTTCATTTTTTTCTAAAAGTTTGATATGGCTGGATGTGAGAGAATTGGCATGACCAATGGATTAGTGCCTGCATTATTGTTATGATATTTATATTTATAAGATGAAAAATGTCTGCTATAGATATGACCTCAGGTGTTTTGAGTAAGTTTTCTGTGGACATTTGCAGAATTATATAATGTGTTTGATGGGATGCGTAAGATGATTTAATTTATTTGGTGATTTCTTATGTGCAAACCTTCTAAGCTTACTCCATATAGTTTTTGGTCCTGGCATCTGAAGTCTTCTATATTGTAATTTATTATTTTCATTCATTATGCTGGCCATATTTATTTATTTATTTATTTATTTTTTCATTCCAAACGATGAATTTGTATCTCTTTACCTTCTTACAGGAAAAGACCTTCATTGGTATACTCGTGACAAAAAATCTGACTTGGATTCGGAAGCCATGAAAGAAGAGATTAGAAGAATCAAGGAGGAAGAGGAGCAGGCAATGAGGGAGGCTTTGGGTTTAGCTCCAAAGCGTGCCTCTAAGTCTCAAGGTAATCGGCTTGATAAACATGAATTTGCTGAACTTGTGAAGCGCGGTTCTACTGCAGAAGACGTAGGAGCTGGCCATGCTGAAGCAGCTCAGGTTCACGGTCTTGGTTTTGCAAGGTATCAATTGATAACTACTGAGTTGAACTTTTTGATAACTGAAAATGAAAAATGAGGACACAATGATCTGTTATTGTGACAGTCATACTTTCCAAACTAACTTCTGTTCTTGTAAGGTGAAAATTAAACTTTCGAAAAATAGTTTTTTGACTTCATAAGTGGTTCATGTGTTGGAAAGGTATGACCTCCACATGTGAAATCTACACGAGACTATTGAATAAGACTCGGTGTTTACTCATATAGCTGTTTTTGGCACCTGTGCAGAGGAGGGCCTCGTCCTTTGGAAGATTCAAATTTGCCTTCAGGTCTGAAAACCAACTCAGTAGAAAAGCCGAATGCAGACATGCCGACAAAATCGACAAAGAATGTTAAAGAAGATTCAGAAGATGAAAGTAGCAGAAAGAGGAAAAGAAGGCATGATGAGAAGAAACGTGACAAGCGTGAAAAGGAAAGGCGGCGCTATGATGATTCGGATGACAATAAGAGGCGACACAAGAAAGACAGGGAAAGGCGTGGGCACGATTCAAATTGATTTTGAACACGTTTTCTCCTGTAATATCCATAGTTGTGTGATAATGAAAAGGTGAAGAGATTTTTTATTTTGGAGTTGAAGACTTTGCTATTTGTTTCTGCTTTAGTCTGCACTCTCAATAATGGATCATTTGATGAATTTAACTCATGTATGAATCCCGTAATTTTATTTCATATGGTAGTTGGGTTCTCGTTTCAATTATCATCAACTGAAAGGGAGATATATGTCACCTCGTACTTAAGGCATCTCTTGATTCTCTAGGGAGTCTGCATTTTTATTTTTATTTTTTATATTTTTCCGAACCACTAATCAATATATTAACTCAACTAAAAAGTTCATTTTGAAGCCAACGGACCACAAATCAGCTGATTATAATCTCCCCCTCAATCAACTGTACGGACTAGCCAACACCATAAATCATAACAATGTCACAGACTAGAGTTTCTCATATTAACAAAACAATCATTGGAATTCAATTTCCCCAAATTTTACTTAAGGTGTAGGCCATCATCCACAGCCTTGCTTGGGAGTCGAGGAAATCCATGGCAGACTCTTTGCTTACAGTTTCACTTTCATCAAAGGAAGTACCTCTCGTACATTGGGCATCCCCTCGTCATTAATCGCCTTGATTTGATTTGGACCACCAATAACACTAATATGATATCACCATTCAGAAAGGAGGAGCCACGGCTCTGACGGCATGCCTGTTGAAGAATGAGCCGGCGACTCATAGGCAGTGGCTTGGTTAAGGGAACCCACCGGAGCCATAGCGAAAACGAGTCTTCATAGGGAAATTTCCACTGCTTATGGACCCGAACCTGGGTGATCTATCCATGATTAGGATGAAGCTTGGGTGAAACTAAGCGGAGGTCCGAACCGACTGATGTTGAAAAATCAGCGGATGAGTTGTGGTTAGGGGTGAAATGGCACTGGAACCCAGAGCTAGCTGGTTCTCCCCGAAATGCGTTGAGGCGCAACAGTTGACTGGACATCTAGGGGTAAAGCACTGTTTCGGTGCGGGCCACGAGAGCGGCACCAAATCAAGGCACTCTGAATAAAGAGAGAAAAAAAAAATGACAAACCAATGTGTTTGTTGAAAAAAAATTAGAATCTCTTGAACTCCTCATCTGAGGAAATGAAACACAGACAGCTGGGAGTCCCAGATAATATACCTGTCCAAGTGAAGTTAAATCTACCTGCCATTCCCACACAAATTAACTCAATTTTAGAATAGTTGGATGACTTAAATCAATTCCCACACAAATTAACCCAATTTTAGAATAGTTGGATGACTTAAATCAATTCCAAAAGTCGTATATGCAAAACGCATGAAGTAGATCAACAATAAACTTGTAGCACCACAACATAGATGCCAATTCGTTGCATTGTGTTTGCAAGGCATTACCTGTCGTTCCCGATTATTTGACAAGTATTAGGAGATGAAAGTTCTGCACTGGGTATGCAATGCAAATATACTTTTTGTATATATTCAGAGTATAGAAGTTAGTGTTTTGCTAGTGTAGACGAAGAAATATTGTATAGAATAAAATCTCAAAATAGGGAGAGAGGATAATATAACTATTAAAAATAATAATAATAATAATAAAATAAAAAAACCAGCTTGACAAAGATTAAATTTTTATCCAGAATTGCTTTCACGTGTAATCATGCAAGAGAAGAGAACAACAGAAAACAATAAATATAACCGCGCCTAGAAAAAACAAAATTTCACTCAGAAAAATTAGTAGCTTCTCGACTGTAGTAGAGAAACTAAATAGGAAATAATGCCTTGTAGATCAGTAAGAATTTACCTTAAAATTTGTTTTTCCATCTGGAACCAGACCAAGCCCGGATGGTGCTGATGGCAAAGCCGGGATGTAAGCAAGTATTCTCTTCACTCTCAAACCCACTAAAGTAGATGAAATTCAAAACATCGTTAAACACTAAAAAGCAGAGGCCACAAGGAAGGTACCTACACATCTCCACAAATGTTTCCAGTAAATACTCAAGTAAATTATATAGGTCAACCAAGCAAAATTGATAAATAACAAATTATATGCCAACACTTCAACAATAAATCATCGTGAAAGAATTTAATTACTGCTGCCGCCCACGTATCCACATCCCAACTGATAGCTAAAGATTTTGTTGAATACAGTTCTTACCAGCCAATATTTCACCTTTATCAATGTCATCAGGTCGACCAAAGGGAATAGGGACTCTACTATGTCACTGCTCATGCCCATGAGGTCCATCATCTCATCTTGCAAGTTCTACCAATAATATATCCACATTGCAGGCTTAACTAGCAGAATTTGTGAACATCCATAAATATATACAAAACTGTCTTCATCATTCATTGAGTTCCCTGTTCGCGGACTTGAACGCTGACATCTCAATTGAATGTAGCAGATACAGATGATGCGCAGCAGTGCATAAAGGCAACTGAGTTCCGAAATAACAGCCAATCAATCATCAGTATCTTACTTCAGAAAAACAGAGAAAGGCTATAAGGATATGGAACAGTAGCTGGGAACCCTGGAAAAAAAATCTTCTTTGAGAACAGTAGGTGGTCCTCCTATGTCAAGGAGGTAGGCAGCACGTTCCGAGCACGTTACAGAATAAGCTTCGTGTCACAAGTCGCGAACTTTGCCCTAGGGGTTGCTACAATGGGAAACACAATTTTACTATGACTGTGCCCATTAACTAACAATGACACAGACTCACGTTATTGAAACAATAATTTTACCAGCGGAAGTTAGTCATGAAGCTACATACCAATCAAATACTAAGACCAAGAATAAAATGACAACACATGCTTCAGACTACAATTAGACAACGAAGCCATAGAACAATTTACTAGCCATGTCACTAAGAGTTGAGATATAGCACGTGTCAGTATGTCATGCACATTTAAACAGATCACATTTATTCACCACGTCTGAAGAAAAAAACCCATAAAGTGAGATTGGTTTTAATTTTAATTCCCCGAATACACCATTAACCCACTTATAACAATCCTATTCAATTACAATAATGCTAAAATATTGTCACAGAAACCATCATCTTACTTTCATCTCATATCCAGTCGCATACCCAAAATATATTCTCCTTCTCTCAAAATAACTTTTTGCAAAAATTAACCAAGCCTAAAGGAAAGAAAAGGGAGAAAGACAAAGGCAGAGAAAATGAAAGCCAAACAATCACACCCTTAACTAAAAATTTGTAACTGTTTTCATGAAAACTATGAAAATATATTGAACCCCATGAGTGATCAAGCAACTAAGTCATTGGAGAGCAAAACATAAACATACTGTTTGTTGTGCATCTTTTAGCTCATCAGCAGCAAATGAGGCTTGATCTAGCTTTAATGTCTGATTGTACAGCATATCACGTTGAGCTTCATACCTGCAACAAAAATTAAAGAAAAGGTGCATGTTATCTGTACATGCAGACAGGTACATGTTTTACGCATGAGCTACACGAGGAACTTAAAGTGTGAATTTGACTGTATTGTTTATTCTCATTCATATGAAAAATGCACATCAGACCGATCCAACTAAAAAATAAGCTGGGACAGCGCTAGCACAATGAGTAAAACATAAACACCCACAAACATGACAAGCATCTTTTCTATCAACTAGAGGTGGCAAGGGTCGGTTCGGCCCGGCCCGGATCAACGGGTCTCGGAACCGGACCATCGGTAAAACCGGTCCGATTCCGGGTCTTATTTTTATTTTTTGACCCACCGATTCCGGGCTGTCGGAAGACGGGTTGGAGTTTTTGGGTCGGATTTTTTTAATTTTTTTTTTTTAAAAAAAAGGACGGACCGGGTCGGGTCATGAACCGGCCCCAGCTGATGGCCATGTCTAATATCAACCTGAAATGCTTTCAACAATAATAAAAAAAAAAGCATGGGCTGGTTAATAATATCATCCAGCGAACACAACTTTCATTAATAATGAGCTGGTAAGTATGGAGGCTGCAATATGTGGTTGGTGGTTCTCATCTATTACGCAAGTTGCAAAATACAGGATGAATATGAGAACACAGACCTACATGCTATAGATGACACCATCAGGTGCTCAAACAGAACACATTTTCCCTTACTCCATACTGCAATTTACTGACAAAATATTTCAGAAAATTAAGAAAAAAACAAACCCTATAAGAACAAGCATTCCACAGCCATAAGCTAAAGGAGTCCCACGCTAGAGCTATTAGGTAAAAATTACTTAAAATAGAACAAAGAAAAGGGAAGAAACCAAGAATATCATTATCAGGAAGTAAATGTAAGATATCACCAAGTCTGCATCTTTATGAATGCCACGAAGTAATACAAACGAGGTAGGTCGCTTACGTTCTTTTTTGTTTAAGGATTCTGATGGCTCTAGCTTTGACAGCTTCTTGGGCAGGACCTGGCCGGACCCTCTTCATCTGCTCTTTGTATCTGGCTAGTTCAGCATCAAGTTTCTTAATCTTTTCTCCGATACTATCACCTCGTTTAGAAATCTGATGGGAGAAAAAGGGAAGAGAAAAGAAGGGCGAAAAAAGGGGAAGCATCATTCAAAAATCGTTTCATCCAACCGGATAAAGAATAGCCATGTTCCAGGTACCAACACACCTCACATACAAAAACCCATGAGGAAATTGACAAACCTAGCGACGTTTAATGCCAGCAAATAACACATATCAAAGTTCAGGAGAAGCTGAGAAACGACCAATTTATTACCCCCAGGTTACCTAATTCTCTGATTTTCAGCTAGCACACATCATACCCAACTCAGATGGAAGGTGAATTGAACTTAGGATCTGCATAAAAATGATTGAGCTCACCGAGATACATACCTGATCGGAGGTATCTCGAATGGATGGAGAGGGTTCCTTATCTTTCCTCAACCCAAATACTTTCTTCATCTCTAAATACAATTTTTCGTCGTCCGCAGACTCTCTCAGGCTCACCGGTATCTAGGGTTTATGATTTTGATAAATGGGAAGGCTGCTTGTCCCTTTTTAAATTTTGAAAGTTATACTCCTTCCAATCCATCAAAAACAATCAAATAAACTTAATTCTCATTATTCAAAATCGCAATCTTCTTCCTGTATTGTAATGTAAAAATCTCCAATACCAATATACTTTACAAAACTACTTTTTATGGACCACATATAATTACTTTCATTATATTATTTATTTTAATTTTAATCTTAATCTTAGATATATTAAAAATAAAAAATAAAAACAAGTATGACATAAGTCTTGGTGTAAAAGAATAATAAGATTAAAAAAAAACAAAAATAATAAACGTTAATATTTAACAAATTCTTCTTGTCATCTTGAAAGGGTAGCCATCATGATATATTGAATGTTATTATTAATGCTTCTGACATGTAGAAGACTCAGTACTATGCGCAGGCTTACGAAAACATGTGCGTATTCAGCTTACAACATGAAGAGATTGCTCGTTGCGCTGAATGGATAACAAGCATGGAGGTGGAACTATAGGGATTAGGGGGTTCCATTGATTGTTATGCAATTGTAGACATACTTGTGGATATGTTGTTTGATCCTTCTAATAATCCAATTGCTCAAATCGTTGAAACCATATATCCAACATTTAAGCAGACAATCAATTATCTCATTTATTTGAAGGGCAAGGTTGTATAAACACGTATATTGGATGTTGTTGAGTTTATATATAGGTACTTGGCATCGTTTAATTTGTCTGGTTGTCATATGTATTTAAGTCTTGATAATACGTGCAAGTGAGACTCTAATAACAATTTTTTGTCTGATCTCCACACGCCCGAGTTCTTGAATAATATCAAATATTTTGATAATTTCAAATCACCAGTTGCATTTGAAGATTGAAACTTCCATCATGTTGGTGTGGAGCATGAATCATGCTATATAATGGGATGTAGCTTGTTGAGACAAAACTCTCCACTCATGTTCTCGAGTGTAAAATATTGATTGGGGATCAACGATCACACATGCGAGAATGTGTTGATTCCTAAAATGATGATGACGCCTTTCGAAGTCATTATTATTTTCAAGTTTCGACGACGACAGTTTCCCATTATAACTTCTTACGCTATGACTGTAAAAAAGAGTCAAAGACAATCATTATGGCATGCTGATTTATTTCTTAAGAAACTTGTGTTCAGTTATGACCAGTTCTACGTTGTTGACTTCCGTGTCACCAACCAGAGTGATTTGAAAATACTATTCTGTGGTGATGGTAACTCTCTAACAAATCAAACCAAGAACGCTGTATTCAATAATTTATAATTTTTTAGTTTGTTTGTGAACCGTTTATTTTTTTACATATATGTATAACAAGACTATTAATTTTTAAATATTGAAAATGTTAAATATACCAATAAAATATATCATTTCGTGCATCTCAAAGGTCGCGACTAGTATTATAAAGAACATAAATATAAAAACAACTATTCCAAATATCGATTTTTTTTTTTTTATTTTTTTTAAAAGAAAGAAACTAACAGGTTGCCCATTAAACCAAAGGCAATTTATTTATTCAAAAGTGAAAATTAAAAATTCACAAAATATAATTTTATAAATTAAAAAATAATAGTAACTTCTCTAGTAATGTAATTATGAATCATAAAATTTTATAAACCACCAACATATGAGTTAAAAATTAGATTATTATTATGAAAATAAATTATTTAATAATATTTTATTTAATTGTTTTATCACAATCACTGCAGGGGTGCAGCAAAATAGAACTCCAGTAATTTGCAACATATATTTATGATTTATCTATTAATAAATGTAGTAATTTATTTTGAAATTTTAATAATTCACACACACACACACACACACATTATCAAATTTGCTGAAAGAAAGTAATGTTTGTGGGGGGAATGTGTAGCAAAATACAGCAACAACTATTTAGTAATAAATCGCAACATACTGCATATATCTATTGTCTGCAGATGCAACCAAATTAAGGCGGTGGCTTAATCAGGCCTTATCTTGACCAGTCCAGCCTTGAGAGGACTGATTATTTTATCCTTTGGCTCACAGATAACAAGTAGTGTCTTATTAATTATTTCTATTGCGCTCAAGCCACTCAAGAATGTCGTTTTCTGATTCAGAAAGTTCTTTCTTCTGCTTCAACTCACCTTCTAACACGCCGAAGTAATCTTTGTAGTTGCGCTTGTAATAACTGTCTAGTCTCTGAATCATAAAATAACAAAAAAAATCCTTGTCAAGAAAATAATTCCACTGCTTTTACGGCTCTCTAAACATTAAGGGTCGTAAACGAGTCGAGCTACGCTTGAGCTTAGGGTGCTCGAGCTCCAGCCCCGGCTCGCTAAAGCCTCGAGCTCAAGCCGAACTATATAAAATTATATAAAAAATCTCTTTTCGAGCCTTAACGTGCCAAGCCCTGCTCGGCACTCGTTTAACTTAAACGCACTTTCTGAATGAGCAATTATTTATATCTATCATACCTCCTTATCATTTTTGGCTTTGTTTTCTTGTGATTTCTTGAGGTATCCTGAGACAAAGAACAAATGAAAAGAAATGGTCCAACCAAATTTGAGGTTGCAAAACATTATCTGTTGCAACTAAAGAATAATGAAAGTAGAAAAAGGGGCTTAATTACTGTTGAGAAGGTCAGTTCTTGAGTCAGCTGCTGCTACACTAAGGACAGTTGCTGAAAGCTGTAGAAAAAGGTGTCTCCTTCCATACTCAAAATAATTAGCAACTGCTGCTGGTTGTACCTCTCTCCTCCTGCTGCTATTACATGCTTGTACCTTGAATACACTCAAAGCTCGCCCACCTATCTCCATTGCAAAATCATGTGTTTTTTTGCTGCAAATTATTAACTACTTATTATTTCCACACGTTGTTGCAGCCACTGGTTTTCTGGATAATTACAAAAAACTACATCGAGATTTCCAAGTTTTACACAAAGGCCCATACAACTCTTAAAATTATAATTTTTTCCTTTGAAAGAAGAAAAAAATCATAAGTTCGTGAAGATAATGCCTTAGGACTTGCTTGTTTATAAATTTAATTACTCACTTTTATTTCAATTCAAAATTTAACTCAACTTTAATTCAACTCCATTATCTTTAATATTATACATAATATTAAAGAAACGGTAGAAAATAAATGGTTTATTTATCAGTTGACAAAATTGGTAGTTAGATACATGTAAGTGGATGAATAA